TGTTCACATACAACAACTCTGTGAATTGAACAATGAATAAGACTCTGTTCCACGCTGCCTATGGACTCACACCTCAACATTTGGTTGATATGGTTTCTTTACTTCTCGAAATTAGAGTGGGGGATGACGGAGAGGCTTTTGCTCATCACATACGACAAGTCCTTGAAGAGATGATAGCTTCCCTGAAATCAAGCAATGAGAATGATGCTAATGCGGCTAATCCGCTAATCTACATCGCCGAAGCAAGGAGTATGAGGAGGGGGACTCGGTTCTCATGCATATGAGGTGAGAAAGGTTTCCAAGTGGCACTTATCACAATTGGGCCGTGTAAGGTGTTGAAGAAGATAAGCTCTAATGCTTATGTGATCGAGCTGCCTTAGGATTTGCATATCAGCCCAGACTGTAATGTTTCAGACTTGTTCTCTTTTGATGGATTTGATGGGGATATTGCTGAGGTTTCAGATCAGGTGCAGCAGCTTTTCAAGGCTAAGACTGAGGTTATTGAAGATGTGTTGGATGCTAAAGAAGTAAGCTCTAGAAGGGGTACTGCTTATAGATGATTCTTGGTGAAATGGTTAGGCAAACCAGCCTGTGAAAGTACCTGGGTTGCAGAAGATGAGCTGCAACAATGTTAGGGGTGAAGCGGGGGTCTTATCAAGTTGGTATTTTATGAAGGATTTGTGGAGAAATGAAAGGGGAAATGGGTTGGACGAAATTATGGAGATGTGGCAGGAGTTCTTTTTGGGTTTTTAGTATTATGAAGAAGAGTGGAAAATCAGGAGAGAAAGGTGGATTTAGAAATGATGGGATAAATTCCAAATTAGGAATAAGAGATAAACACACTCTTATCTTAATTTGGAGCCAAATTAATACTAAAGGATAAACTCACCTCTAGATTAACTTGGGGTTAAACTCTAGTATTTAATCAAGATATTACACACTCAATTAAATAACTAGAACCTAAAACTCACACTTAAGAGAACCACACTTAAGATATAGAATTAGGAATTTGGGCTAAAATAGTATCACACTATTTTAAGAGAATACTCAAAAGAGTA